ACTTGTTGACATATGTTTCCCTTTTTGTATATCTCTAGTCTCTCTTTTTAACAATTTCTCGAAGTAAGTGTTTTAAGAGTTGCTAGGATTGTGCTGATAATTCATATGGCATCTGCCACAGACTAAAGGAGCGAGTGCGGGAAGGGAATGGACAGAGCAAGAGACGCTCTTGCTGTTAGAGGTAAAGCAATCACTCATGTTTTCGGATTTCTGTCACAGATTTGATACGTGACTCATTGCCCTCCTAAAAGGGAAATTTTTTTATTTTTGATTCATGCGAGTCGACATTTTGCAAGTTGTTCTCAGCCTCGCCTGCTCCTCTGTCTTCCCTCTCTGTCTCTCTCAGGCCTTAGAGGTCTACAGAGACGACTGGAACAAAGTATCGGAGCATGTGGGCTCCAGAACACAGGACGAGTGTATCCTCCACTTCCTTCGTCTTCCAATAGAAGACCCTTACCTAGAGGACTCCTCGGCCTCCCTCGGCCCACTGGCGTACCAGCCTGTGCCTTTCAGCCAATCGGAAAACCCCGTTATGAGCACTGTGGCCTTCCTGGCATCCGTGGTGGACCCACGGGTGGCATCGTCGGCAGCTAAGGCCGCACTAGGTGAGAGGACAGGAAGGAATGTGGATATGTTTGTGCGGTGGGTTATGGTATGGTTTTGAGCTAGTGAACTGTATGTATAATATTTGGGTAGTGATTCTACATCTTTTTCTTCAGAGGAGTTTTCCCGAGTGCAGGAGGAGTCAGTGGATAAAGTCTCTGAAACGTCCAACCAGCCTGACAAAACAGGTAACACTGTGATTACGTACACGTGCACATAATCACACACAAACGAATCTTTCTCTTCATGCTGCAATGCATCCCTTATTTTGTCTTCCTCTGTCCTTCAGAGTCGATGGATACGGAAAAAGGTGAAATGAACTCCACCTCCCATCAGGTGAGACAACAATAAGAGCTCAGAGAGAGTTTTGTTGCATCTGCTGGTGATTTTGTGGCTTACTTTGAGTGTTCGTACATTTGGATCTGCTTCAGGTCCCTTTAAGAGCAGATGGGCTCAAGGTGGAGCCCAGTGGGGCCAAAGTGGAGGGAGAACTGGTCAAAAGAGAAAATGCCGAAAATGCACTTGCGGAAGAGAGAGACGGTATGTAAATATGTACAGTGTGTGTATTTACTATATGTGTGTACATGTGTTTGTCTGCCTGCATTAAAGAAACTCTGTCTGATCAGGGAAGGGAGATGATGATGAGAGCATAGAGCGGGGAGATGTGGATGAGGCGAGAGTGATGGAGCAGGATCTGGTGGAGGGCAGCGTTGCCACGGCAGCAGCAGCTGCTCTGGCCTCAGCTGCCACAAAGGCCAAGGTAAAGCCCGCCCTTCCACTTCAAAACGGACCAATCGCAGGAATGTACAGTGAAGAAATGGTTGTCATTTTTAATAGAGGGCTTGGTTTTTTTTTCCAGTTGTGTCACAAGTCTCCTAGCAACCAAGACAGGCACCATCTTAGAGAGCACTTTAAGATGTCTTTGCACATGAGTATGTGTAGGATATGCAGTATATCTGGCAGATCAGAGACTGGAATTATCTCAAAAATGCAGTTTAGCTGCAGTTTACAGATGAAAATAAATGCCCCTGTTAATTGGGTTTGATTCCAAATTTGAAGTTAATTGTAACCCAATGAGGTGTTGTATCATGTATGTCTTGCTCGGTCTCTCTATACAATATGTGAGTTAGATCAGTTATCGTCCCATCCCTTGTTGCCGATGATTGATTCTGTAGTTTTCTTTCATTCAGTCTCTTAATTCATTTCCTCTCTTCCTCCTTGCCACGCTCTGTCACACCCAATTTATTCCACCCTCCTCTCACCTCTTATCTTTCCTCTTCCTCAGGGTTTTTCCTCTTTTATCTTTACCTCCACTACCTCATTTCCTTTCTTCTTAACTGTCACATGCGCTTACCACGCAGTTCCTTACTCATTTGTTGTGTGTGGTTTCATCTATCTTCACCCTCTTCTAACTTTCTCCATCTTTGCCTCGTGTGTGTGCAGCACTTGGCCGCAGTAGAGGAGAGGAAGATCAAGTCCCTGGTGGCTCTGCTGGTGGAGACCCAGATGAAGAAGCTGGAGATCAAACTGAGGCACTTTGAGGAGCTGGAGACCATCATGGACCGTGAGAAAGAGGCTGTGAGTGAACATGAATATCTACTAGAGCGCAGTTCAGTCCTGAAATGTACAATGACAAAACTCTAATGGCTGGTTTTTGACATCTGTTTGTTATTTCGTTTGCATCCATAAACAATTGAAACCAGCCTGTATAATCAATACTTTGTGTCGGCGTGTATATGTGTGTGTCATGCAGCTGGAGCAGCAGCGGCAGCAGCTCCTGTCAGAGAGACAGACCTTCCACACTGAGCAGCTCAAACAGGCAGAGATGAAGGTTCGCCAGCAGAGGGAGCAGCATGGTCAGCCGGGATACACAATGCAGCAATCAGGTCTGATCATACACACAAAATCAAACATCCTCTAAGATTTGACACACCCTCAAATCTTGTTAACCCTTGAAGAACAAAAACAGACATATTTTCCCACAGTAAAATCGCCACTTTGGAATTATAAGGCTCTGTCTGCGTTCGGATTAGTTTTGAGGTATTGAGCTGCAAAGTTTTTGCATTCCTAATTGGAAAAATATCAGAATCCGCTACTGTTTCTATGACAATTATATGACATAAATTTATTGTATCAGGATGAATCATCTTTTTATTTCTCAAAAAAAAACCCATTGCAGGTTAAGTATAAAAGTCAGTGCTCAATATTTTATCCTGTGCAGAGGTTTGTTTCCTTTGGATTAGTTTCCTCTGGATTAATCAAACTAAAACTGTATTCCAGAGAAAATGTGACAGGTAAAGTACTTAGTGCAGATGAGAAAATACCACACAATTTGGATAAGGAACCTCAAGACTGAAAGATTAACTCATAGTCTTGTTAAGGGCCACAGTGCAAATGCAAGGCAATTTAGTCTTTCTTTGAACTGTTTTAGATGTGGCTGATGAGTTTATCTTGTTAGCTGCTATGTTAGCCAGCTAAAGCTAGCTTCCTAATGTTAGTCTGGCAGCTAATGCTAGCATGCTTTGTTGGAAGAGGAAAACATAACCTCCACCAGTTGAAAGACTAACATTAGGAGGGTTGTGTTAGCTGAATAGCTTGGTGGCTAACAATGACAGTAAACTCCTCAGTGAGATCTAAATCGGTTAAAAAAGTCTGATCTTACCAGACATCTGTACTGCCGTCCTTAACAAGACTTAAGGTTTCTTATAAACATTGCATTATGTGAAATTTTTTTTTTATCTCCGCCAAGTTCTTTGCCGTCTCTGCTCCTTTTGCCACTTTCACTGAGCAGTGCAGTAACAGGGTAGATTAACTTAAGAACTTAATAATTCCAAGGTGATAAAATGCATCCAGTGTCACTCAGCTCTTAAATTCATGTGTTAAATCATAGTTTGTTCCTATGCCTAACACTTATGGTTCTCATTAAATTTAGCCCTGCCTGCTCCCTCAGGCCAGTCCATGCCCAACCGCATGATGCCTGGTGGAGGAAACGCCCAGACAATGGCCTCTCGACACCCTGGAGCTCCCAATGGCATGTGTGAGGACTCTTTACTGGTTCCAAATGTTCTTTGTGATACTTTAAACATGTTCAGACTGTGATGTGATGACGATGTCTTTTTTTTCTCATTGCTGTCTCAGATCCGTCCTCACAGCCTGATGGGATAGCACCAACTCAGCCGGGTCCTCCTGCGTCCAGCCACAGCTGAACCGACCGGAAAACAAGAAGCGCACACACACACACATCTCATTCAACCAGGACACACACATGAAAATGTAACACTGGCAGAAATGTTCAGGAGCAACTGTTAAGAAATTGAGCCCTGTAACTCTTCAGTAGTCACATGTTTATAGGCACACAAGCACACAGTTAACGTGTATTTGGTCAATGGCTCAGTCCATCTTATATCTGTGAAATATTTGTGCTCTGACCTGAGTTGAGAAATCTGAAGATTGAACTCGACTCATTAAAGTTGTTTTACATGAAACTAAATTTATCTTTTGTTCGAGTACAACTAGTTTCGATGTGTGTGTATGTGTGCACATGCTTGTGCAAGTGGATGTGTATTTGTTCATCTGTCTTTGTTAGCACCAACTTTAGTTGTAGTACTTGGGAGTGAGGACATTCTGGCTGGTTTCTCGGTTATTATTTATAATCCATTTATTTTCACCATTTATAGAATAATTTATGAATCAGTTGTTTTTGAGGTCGACATTTATGAGCCTTCCAGGGTTCTGACTTGGTTTTAAGGTTCAGGTTAAAATACGATTAGAATTGTGGTTATGGTTTGGGTTTTAGTTGAGATGGTTAAGGTTGGGGTAAGGGTGTAGGGAATCCATAATATCATTGGGAGTCCTCACAAGGATAGAAAGACAAGACTGTGTGTGCCAAGCAGTCAAACAACTTTAAAAATACAACTTATTTCCTTGCACCCCACCCCTTACACTGACAGTACACAAAGACTGCAATACCTGGCCGTTTATTAAGTATACTACATGAATCAAGTCACATTTAGTTTTCGTTAAATCATACATACTCATTTAACATGTTCTCCAAAAGCAATTTACATGTGCAGCATTTTGTGAGATGGTCTGGTTGCACTCTGCAGTTACACCTCCAAAACACTAGTCAGCGGTGGAGGTTTCTGTGAAGTGCTGTAAAATGTAGCTGATTCAAAACACACCCAAAACTCACATTAAACACACATTAAACATGCCTTAACAGAGACAGTTTCAAACACAAGTACACAAATTGGCTTCACTGTAACTTGCAGCATTCACAGACAAACACTTGACTCATTTTCCCCACAAATACAACATGCTAATGTTATTAGCACAAGCCTAAGGCATTTTACATTGTATAAATTAGCCTAGTGGCTGGCAATCTTTTCCTCTTCTCATATAAAACCAGGGACAACAGCAACATTTAACAAAGGTAACAGCACACAATTTGGCTCCATTACAACTCACAAAACGACTGTTCCATACTAAGCTTTTTCCAAACAAATACAACATGCTAACTTTATTAACCTACAGCATTTTACATTGTATAAATTTGCCTAGCAATGAGCGGAGATTTCCACTTCTCATATGAAGCCAGGATAAATCCTGACAGATAAATCACACACAAGACTTAAAATCCTATTTTAGTGGGGGCTTTACTGTCTTCACAATTTATTGTTTCTTATCTGTGAAATACAAGTAGATAAAAGCTGCGTTTCCACTGAGAGAAAATGTTTCAGTAAACAGAAACAGACAGGAGTGCACATGATGCTACAGCATAGGTTACAGCGTAGACTCATAGCTACGGCATCGAGTATACCCTGTAAATTCATTGTTATTATCAGCACACCAACCTTTGAACCAATGTCACTTTACATTCCTCTCCTATAAACTACAACAGATTGGCCCCCTCGCACAATCGTAACTCTGCACCTCTGTGTACTTGAGAGAGAAAAAGGACCACCTGGTAGGCTTTGTGGCTTCTTTTCAGCTGATTCCTGGTTCCCCTTCATAGACATAAGACCGAGTATGAGTATCACAAAAGCATTGAATCCACACGCCAGCTTGATTTCCATTTTGAGCAAATCAGTGACGTTCAATGCGATCATTCCGATGATTATCTTTGTCATATTTCTGGAAAAACACAAAGAGTAATTATTAATAATGAGTTTCTTTTCTAGCTTCATAAATACTTTAATGATTGGAAAGACAAGTAAACCTACTCTGGAGAATGGTCTTTGGTCACTGCGTAGATTCCAAGGAAGATCAACGAAACTGTTATTGTCACTGACACAGATTGATAAGATGGAATTATTACATGTGCTGCTTTCACCGATGCTGCCCCTCCAAATGTAAAAAGTAGGTTTTTCCTGGGAAATGACAACAACAGAGAGAGAGAGAGAGAGAGAGAGAGAGAGAGAGAGAGAGAGAGAGAGAGAGAGAGAGAGAGAGATCACCACTCGGTCGAACAGATACTTTCACAGAGCAAAGAAAACAGATTTCAGATTAACGCACTGACAGCATGTACTCACAACTGGATTGGATCTATCATCTTGACCAAAGCCCTGTGTTTGTTTCAGCAGTTACTTGGCTTCACTGAGACGTCCTTTGTCTTGTTCTAATAAGACTTTGGTCATAAACAGGTGATACAGTAGTTTCCCTCTCACAGTATCCTATCAGTCTGTAAGAAAGTGACATGTCAGGTGTTCCATATGGTCTTTCTGTTTTAGTCTATGTCACAGTCTACAGCCTGCTCTATCGGTTTAATAATTACACACCCAAAGCCCTTATTGTTATTGTACTTCTCTCTCAACGACAGCATTCTGGGAACAGATTTAATGTGAAGCTTTGTGTTTAGCTTACGTTACCCATAAATAGACATCTCAACCTGTTGGTTTAACTAAAACTAAATAATATTTGGACATCAAAAAAACAATAACAAATTGAAGAGGTGTACCGGTCAGCTCAGTGGTATCTTCTCATACATTTTTCAAATGATTTTAGCCTTGTGTTGGCTTGTTGACTTATTAACAAACAGGGCTCAGAGGGTCCTCTTTTATTTTGTTTGTACACCAATTAATGTAATAGCATACATCAAGATTTGTCCTTAAGTACGCGGACGAGCCTGTTGTTGTAAGTCTTCTTAATCGATCAGAATATTTATTAAGTATACTACATGAATCAAGTTACATTCAGTTTTCATTAAATCATGCATACTCATTTAACATGTTCTCCAATAGCAATTTATATGTGCAACATTATGTGAGACATATTGTGTTGGTCTGGTTGGTCCCATTTTTACAGTAAGGGCAAATTAACTAATAATGCTCTCTGTGTTTACATCTTCTGAGTTGGTTTGTTTAAGGGGAATTATAGTTGTGCGTAGACCCTACACACGTAGCCTACATCGTTGTGAGCATTTTTACTTGTGCAGTGGTCTGGTTGCACTCTGCAGTTACACCTCCAAGACGCTAGTCGGCAACAGAGGTTTCTGTGAAGTGCTGTAAAGTTTAGTTGATTCAAAACACACATTAAACACACATTAAACATGGCTTAATAGAGACCTTTTCGAACACAAGAACACAAATCAGCTTCCCTATAACTCACAGCATTCACAGACAAACACTTGTCTTTATCCGGACACATTTTCCCCACAAATACAACATGCTAACGTTATTAGCACAAGCCTATGGCATTTTACATTTCTATAAATTAGCCTAGCATTTAGTGATCTTTCCCTCTTCTCATACAAAGCCAGGGACAACAGCAACATTAACAAAGGTAACAGCACACAATTTGGCTCCATCACAACTCACAAGATTCACCAACAAAACAACTGTCACACTGAACACGTTTTCCGAACAAATATAACATGCTAACGTTATTAGCACAAGCCTATGGCAGTTTACATTGTATAAATAAGCCTAGCAACAAGCTGTGATTTCCTCCTCTCATATGGAGCCAGGATAAATCACAAACAAGACTTAGAATGGTATTTTAGTGGAGGCTTTATTGTCTTCACAATTTATTGTTTCTTATGCAGTGATGTGGTGGTTAGCACTGATGCCTCACAGCAAGAGGGTTCCTGGTTCGATCCCGGATGTGGGAGCCCTTCTGTGTGGAGTTTGCATGTTCTCCCCATGTCAGCGTGGGTTTTCTCCAGGTACTCCGGCTTCCTCCCACAGTCCAAAGACATGCAGGTTAATTGGTGACCCTAAATTGTCCGTAGGTGTGAATGTGAATGGTTGTCTGTCTCTATGTGTCAGCCCTGTGATAGTCTGGTGACCTGTCCAGGGTGTACCCTGCCTCTCACCCAATGTCAGCTGGGATAGGCTCCAGCCCCCCCATGACCTTCAAGAGGATAAGTGGTTAGAAAATGGATGGATGGCTGGATCTGTGAAATACAAATAAATCAAAGCTTCCTTTCCACTGAGGGAAATGGTTTCAGTATACAGAAACTGTATACTGAGGTCTGCGTCACCACGACGCGTAGCTACAATTCTGGGCTCTGGGGAGAACCTACGCCATAGCTGGGTGATTCTCTGAATTCGGTGCACTTTGTGTCCCACAGGTTTACCTCAAAGATTTTCATATAAAGTAAACCACAAAATGCATTTTAAAGCAAG